CTGAAAGTTTTAAAGAACAGGTTAGATATACAGGGTGCCTGTACATGTTCAGGGAGGCTGCTCCAACACACTGTAATTACACTGTCATTACAGTGTGTTGGAGCAGACTTGATTAATCGAGTCTGCTGGAGCATGCTAACTGGCGTGCTCCAGTCAGACAGGCTGTGTCTCGCATATCAGCATCCCTACACTTTAACTAAAGCTCGTTGAATGAGCTTCAGTTAAAGTGCCCCTACCATCATGGTGAAGAACAGGGACACTGATACACAAGATGCTGTGTGTGCTTTAATTAGAGTGGCTCTTGGAGCCGCTCTAATTAAAGCGTTCCCTCTCTTCCCTCCAGCCCCAGAGCACACGTAAAATGTTCATATTTGTTACAGATGGTCTAGGTATGTTTGATCCTGCCTCAAAGCCAAGGGGTTTATTAAGAACATAAGCAGTGCCCTACTGGGTCAGACCACAGGTCTATCTAGCTCACTATCCTATAATGTCACAGTTGCACTTGCTAAAGGGAAGAGTATTTAGGCAAGGACAATCCAAACTGATCCCATCTCCTCTCTCTCTCTTCTTGTAGAGCTCCCAGAATTCAGAGACCCAGGAAATCTTAATTTGGGAGGAGGCTTTGGCCCTATCATGTTTAATATCCTTTGATGGATGTACCATGCATGAATCTGTCCATTTCTCTTTTGAATCTTTCAAACCTCTTTTGAAATGATCGGTTTTTCTAACATCTTATGGCAACGGGTTCCAGAAGCTGAGCAATGTGTGAAAAGAATTGGTTTGTTTAAACTTGGTTCCTAATCATTTCCTTGTGTTTCCCGTAGTCCTGGTATTGTGAGATGGTAAATAGTAAATCCTTATTATCTTTCTCCATGCTATTCATTATCTTTTAGACCTCTATCATATCATCCCACATTTGTCTTTTCTCTAAACTGAAAAGTCCTTATCTCTTCAATTTTCATTGTACAGAAGCTTTTCTATGCCCCTGGCCATGTGTCCCTTCTGTGCTCCTTTTCTTGGAAACTACATAATTTTGGAGATGAGGGAAGTGAAACTGTGGGTCTTTATACACATGCTCTGCGTCTGGGAGAGAGAGAAGAGAGAAGAGCGGGGCTTAGAAGAGCTGAGGAGACCTGCTTAGCAGGGCGAAGCAGTAGCCCAGAAATGCCCCTGAAGACTTCCATCAGCGGGGAATGGCTGACGGCTCCAGCAGCTCGGCTCTCGGTGTGCAGCATGGCACACGGTGGCACACGGTGTCCAGATCCTGGGAGTTGCATGAGGCAGCTGGGTCTGCAACTGCTGGCATGTGGCCAGAGACACGGTGCACAGGCTGGTGCATGGAGTAGGACCTTTGGAGCGCTTGGGCGGCTCAGGTCCTCAATGCCTAGAACAAGCCTGGGACCTCGGTGCAGGAGGCACTGCACGTAGGGTCCGGGAGTGGACCAAGCCTGGTGCTGCATGAGGCATCCCAGGCCTCCGACCCATAGCAAACGGTTGAGTCCAGAGAGCCAGATGGCGATCGGGCTACTGAGCCAGCAGACAGGGCCGAGCCAGAGGCCCCAGAAGCCCTCTGTAGCGGAGCCCTGTTCCAGGGGACAGCGACCCCCCTGAAGCCCACTGCAGGCAAGAGAGCAGCCTGGCGCAGAGGACGAGGGCCACCCTCCAGGTCTGGGAGCTGTGAATTGCAGGGAAAAGAGTGTTCCCACAGGGGAGGGAAGTCCCCCCCGGTTAGTTAAGGGCTCCTAAAAGGGGAGGTCCCACTGAGAGGGCCCCCCTAAAGTTACCAGCTTTTTTATAGGGCTTGGGAAAAGCCCAAGGGCATTGGGGTATCCCGTCAGGATTGTTTATCTTTGAGGTTTAGGATGCAGATGCCTGTAATGGCTGGGGACTGGACTTGATGGGCCAGGACGTCCCTTCCAGTTTTAGGTGCTATGTTCCCGCTGAAATGATTGACAGAAAGGTATGTAACCATTGTGACCTTTTAAATGGTTGTCATTAAGTTTTAAAACCCTATTGATATCAATTAGAAATAGATTAAGGGCTGAGGAAAAAAAGAATGGAAACTGCAGTTCATTCTTCTCTCACACTGATTCAGACAGGCCATACAAGCAGGGCAAAGACGCTGCAAGGCACAGAATTTTAATTTTTAGCCATCAATTAAATCTTAATTCTCCCTTAGAAGAGCTGGTGTGCTATACTGTGCCAAATCTCTGGCCAGTGCAATCCCTGCACTCCATAAAGTGGCTCCAAAGGAATAAATCTTTAGTGCAACACAACTGTTGTCAAATCTAACTTTACAAAAAGAAGAACAAGATGAACGTTGAAGCTCATTATTTAAAATGATAGAATTGGATTTGTCTTTTTGTAAGAAAGGCTATTTTGGTAAAAATAACAAAGAATGAAACAAAACCCTGCTATTAAAGTAAAATCTGAAAATCAGCTGCAGCTCACAGCCCCTCTGCAGAGAAACAGTGAAACAGGAACTCGGTTGCATTCAGGCCATGACAACTTGCCCCTTTCCAGCAAAAGCAGAGGCTGGAAATCCAAAACAAGTCCTTGCCCAAATTTAACAAGAGTCCTTCCATTAGAACTGCCAGACTATGAGAACAGATGTTCTTACCGTCGTGGTGGTAAAATAATGTGGTTGTTTTAAAAGAGTTAGAGGAAGAAGACTTCTTCAACAGCAACAATGGCAAAGAGTCCAGAGTGGGGAAGGCAGTCCTGCTTTCCCTGAGATAACAGGGAGAAACCAAACACCTGGTTTTGTAGAGACTTCAAACGCAGCTGATCACTGATAGATGGACACAGTGTGGTCAAGGAATTGGTGCAGGAGGGAGGGGAGAAGTCAGGAATGCTTGAGTTTGAACTCTGACTGGTTACGAGCTCTGTGCACATGCTCTGCACAGTGCAGAAATTTCCACTTTGGAGCATGCACAACTAGGGAGACCCCAGAAGACACTGGGAGATCCACGGAGAAGCTTATTTTAAAAACATTTTCCCTTATTCCTAAGGGAATAGGACCCCTACTAAATGGGCAGAAGCAATTGGTGACGGACAGGGGGTCAAGGCTGAACTCCTCAATGAGTTCTTTGCCTCAGTGTTCCTAAGCGAGGGGCACGACAAGTCTCTCACTAGGATTGTAGAGAGGCAGCAGCAGGGCGCCAGACTACCAAGCGTAGACCCTGAGATGGTGTAGAGGCACTTGGAGGAACTGGATGCGTTTAATTCAGCAGGCCCAGATGAGCTCCATCCGAGGGTACTGAAGGCACTGGCTGATGTCATTGCACAGCCACTGGCGGGGGAATTTT